ATCTGTGTTTTGATGTCATTGAGCAAAACCCTCCTCTCGGGTGAATCTTGTAATCCAAAGCTTAAACTGCAGTGCATGACAAATTTTTGAACTAAGCGAGATTAAACTCCTAATCGAGATTAAGTCCATACGGGCGTAAAATGGGCGCGGACTAAAGGCATGTTTGGGATGCGTTCAATATTCTGCTGGGATGAACCCGGAGTGATCCATGCGCCCCGTCCGTCCATTCGAAAATGCAGGTATTCGTTAATTTTTCTTGCTGTTTGAAAATATCCCCGGTATTGTACAGCGGCGGCAAAATGTACTGAATTTTATAGTGTGGTACTGACGTACTAAAGAGAGTCGAATTGTACTGATTTCAGTACATCTGTACTGATGCTGGCAACACTGGTCTTGTAGCGTTTGAAGCTACTTCTATTTCTTGACATGTTACCTGATAATAGGGCCTATATTTCTGTGCGAATATTTGATGTCTTGCTTGATTCTGGTGCTACCAATTCCGTTATAGGAGCCGAAGGGTTACAGATTTCAAATTTTCTTAAAATTAAAGTATTTTCTATAACTGATAGGCAAATTTTAACTGCTGATGGCGTACCACAACAAGTGAGTGGTGTTGTTGATTTACCAATTTTTATTAATAATTCATGTCAAGTTATTCAAGCTCTGGTTGTACCTTCTGTAAAACAGTATCTTTGGTAGTGATTTTGCCAGAAAGTTTAATTTGATTTTGAATTTTAGTAACAATAGCTGGGAAATACCGAATTCTATGTCTGAAGCCCGTAATAATTTAAATAATTCTTCATTTTCTTTTGGTAAACTTTTTTCTTTACATGATCTCTCTTCTCCTGACATTTTAAGGGCTCAACGTGTAATCGATTGTTTCAAAAAAATAGATAGTAATGACAGAATTGGCAGAACTGATAAAATTAAGTTAACAATAGATACTGGTGACCATAAACCATTCAAGCGAAGACCACATTTTCTTTCTCCGTATATGCAGGACGTCCTGAATAAAGAATTAGATTCCATGTTGGAGCTTGGTGTTATAAGTGAATCAGAAAGTCCTTGGAGCTCTCCAGTTCTCCTTGTTAAGAAGGCTAATGGAGAATACAGATTCTGTTTTGATGGTCGTTTTCTTAATGATATTAGTAAACACGATTCTTATCCATTACCTCATGTTGATAGGATTCTGAACAACTTGCGTAATGCCAAGTTTATTTCTGCCCTCGATCTTCGAAAAAGTTTCTGGCAAATCCCTCTAGACGAGTCTTCAAAAGGGAAGACAAAGGGAAGACAGCGTTCTCAGTTATTGGCAGGGGACATTTCCATTTCAATGTTGTACCTTTCGGTTTGTGCAATGCTGCACAAACTCAACAAATACTGGTTGATGCTATCTTTGGACCAAAATACGAACCTTACATTTTCTCTTACCTTGATGATATTTTGATATGTTCTCCTACCTTGGATCATCATTTAGACTTACTAGCAACTGTTAAAAACCTTCTAGAACAAGCTGGTCTCACGATTAATTTGGAAAAATGTAATTTCTTCCAAACATCCCTTAAGTACCTTGGTTTCATTGTTGGTAACAATTCGTTAGCTACTGATCCGTCAAAAGTTGAAAGTATGGTTAGTTATCCCCGTCGTCAAAATACTACAGAGGTTAAAAGTTTCATAGGTATGTGCTCATGGTACAGAAGATTCATTAAGGACTTTTCCTCTCTTGTCAGTCCGATTAATTCACTTGTAAAGGGTAGAAAGAAAAAACAGGCTATTTCCTGGAATGAGGAGGCTGTGGAAGCTTTTATCACCATTAAAGAGAAACTCGTTTCCGCACCAGTTCTTTCTCAGCCTGATTTCTCCCAAGAATTTGTTGTTCAAGCAGATACTTCCGACGTAGGTTTAGGGGGTGTGCTGATACAAAATTTGGACGGTGAGGAACGTGCAATTGCTTATGCTAGCAGAGCTTTGACTCGAGCTGAGCATAACTACTCTGTCACTGATCGTGAATGTCTGGCAGTGATTTTCTGTATAGAAAAATTTAGACCTTGGATTGAAGGGGTTCGGTTTACGGTAATTACAGACCATTACAGTCTTCTTTGGTTGAAAAATTTGAAGAATCCAGCTGGGAAACTCGCTCGTTGGCTTATAAAACTTAGACAGCATACCTTTGAATTGGTCCACCGAAAAGGCGCCCTAAATGTTGTGCCAGGCGCTCCCAGTCGTATTCCTCATTCTTCACTCGATTCTGATGTTCCAGTCCAAGACGATTGTAAACCATCTACATCTGGTAATGTACCTCGAATTTCTGTTTTATCTTTTGATCTTTCTGAAGCCGATTCCTGGTATATTTCTTTGCGTTCTAAAATTCTTGAATCTCCAGAAAAATTCCCTCAATGGAAAGTGGAGAATCTTATGGTTTATAAATTCATTCCTTCTAAATCTTACTATACCTTCAATAATCGTGAATGGAAAATTTTGGTACCTAAAAGTCATCGTAATAAAGTCCTAGACAATTTAAAGGGGATGTGACCTTAAAAAACGATTTAAGTTACTTAAATAAAGAAAAAAATTCTAAGATCTCTCGTGAAAACCGCAGTCCTGTATTCAAAATAGTCTCCGAGAAAATTCCTTGTGAAGATCAATTATGCAGGAAATTGTGATGTCACGCCAAAATCGCAGTCTTCTGGTCGTTCAGTCATCAGTTAACCGTACCCTATACTTTAAGTGGTTGCAATTCGTTCTAGGAGATAATTATCTTTTCTTTTGGAGAATTATTACACGTGTTAATACTGTCCCTGAAAATTCAGTGTGACGTCACAAACGCCTAGTTGTTACTTTAAACCGCTCTAACACGAAAACGGACCATCGTAGCAAGATGCGGTTTGAATATTTATTCTTAGATTTTTTTGCACTAAAACATTCATATTTGGGTCACACCCCCTTTAAGAAATTTAACGAGGGATATTTTTTTGCACTCAGGCTTTAAAAAACATCAAAGCTTCAATTTAATAAACAAAAATGAGTGTAAACAGTTGTTACAATTATTTTCGGATTACCTCTTCTTCCAGATTTCTTTTATTATGCATTTTTTTGATAAAGTTCATTTGAGGATTTGGAACTTAAAAATTTAAATCTTCTGGCGCCCACTATAGACACTCATTACTCACCCTAATATTGCTCTCTGGCGAACAGCTGTTACTATAGTATTTTTTTTTTATTAAAAAAGAGGCTACAGTTTCAAACAAAGTGTGTTAAACCATAACATAGTCTGAATCAATGTGAGTACGAGAAGCAGGGTCGTCTTTAGCCATCTCGGGGCCCTAGGCACTTTTAAATTTGGGGACCCTATCCCTTTTTTTGAAAATGTCATAAAAGGCAACAATAATAATTATTTGGAACAGAATTTATTTATATATATATATATCAAAAATAAAAAATGAAACACATATTTTTAGGTACATATTCAAACAAATGAGTAACCTTTGCCTAACTAAATAATAATATTTAATAGGTAAATTAAATTTACAAAATAAACCGGCATGATAATTTACATTCATGCAAATGGCTTCTTTCTCGATTTTTTATGCGCAAAATCGTTTATTACGTTTTCAAAATCTATTTCATTAAGTATGTCGTGTTCTATGCTCATTATTGACAAACTATTTAGCCTGTCTTGAAGCATGGTACTTCTGAGTTCATTTTTTATCCTGGCCAACTTGGAAAATGAACGTTCACCACTACAGTTTTTTACCATTAAGCATAAGAAAATTCTTAGTGATATTTCGATATTTGGGAATGTATCCGCGATATCTTCTTTGCGTAAAATCTTAACCAATTCTAAAACAGTTATTTCGTGGATTTTATTGATTTGATCTGTTTGATCCTTTAAATATTGCCTCAGATGAAGGCATTCAGATTGCAATTCCGGGAATTTAGCTCGAGCACAGCATTCATACATTTCGAATTTATTTCTCACGTCATCCAGAAACTCAGCAAGGAGGCAAATAACTTAGCTGCTACATCCATGGTTAGGGTACTCTTTTGGAGACTCAGATTCGTTTTATTTATCCTCTCCAATATATTGCTCCATATTTCGGTTAAAAGAATGTTCTCCAGTTTTTCTAATTTTTTCATTAAACTTAGCGCTTCACTTCTGGTTTCTGATGTTTGGTTTTTGTCTTCTGCAATGTTTCCCAAAGCTGCTATGACATTCATATCGTCGGGTTACTGCAAAAACAAGATAACTCCACTATTTACACATTTTTAGTTAAGTGCACTTCTACGCTTAAAAATTGCACCTTCGTCTACTGCGACAACAAGATAAATGTCTTAGAGTTGTAAAGGGTCTATGCGCATGTTCAAAAATAAGGTAAGTCCACTTTGACCAAAATCTATCCAGCTGAAACAAGTTATGTGCATTTGTATTTTATATGAAATCGTTTTATTGTCTATTTAGTATTATTTTTGACTGCAGAAATAAGTTGTGTGGCATTTATCTGTTTTTAGCTGCTCGATTCTGGGAACGAAAATAGTCTTCTGTATTTAAAACAAGCTAATTGCCACTTATCTTGTTTAGGCTGTACTGCTACATGTCGAAATACAATAATTTATTTGATTTAATCCAGATATATGACTTTTAACTTATTTTTGCTGTAGCGGCTATGTATCATAAGCACAGTGTGCCTGTACTTAACTATAACGTTCAGCATTTATCTTGTTTCGGCTGTACATGATAAAAATATAACCCTTAAAAATTGTGTAGGTCGTGGTGATGACACTCGATTGTTTTTTGTTTTTATTAGTTTAAACAGTGAAATAATTGCAAATAATAATGTCTCGAGGGGCAGCAATGCTCAAGATGGTTCTTGAAAAAGTAAAATGTACAGGTATTTTTATAATTAATTTATTTGTCACGATTTTTTTTTGCATGAAAGCTTTGTTGTTTAATAGTTGTTGGGAAAGACACAATACTTAAGAAAACCCCACTTAACTTCACGATGGTGAAGGTTAATCCTTATCTTGAAGAGAAACGTTCAGGGACATTTACTGAGAAAATTGCAGGGTCATCAAGTAATAACAAAGGTACCTACCTACGACTTTTTATTTATTTTTAAATAACTAGTCTATTTTGCGTGCTTTTATTTTGTTAGCAGAAAACGAAGAGATCTCTCCATGTGAGCCTTCGGTTTTGCAGCTTCCTTCTCTGGCAGTTAATTATGATAATGAATGTAGTTCAGGCAACAGACAAGTTTCAGAAGATAATGTAATAGCTGGTCCCTCGACTAAACACAGAGATATCGACCAGAAAATGTCATTTGAACTAGATTCCGATCATGAACGCACTGCTGATGAATTAGAGGGTTTTTTTGAAGATTCCGATTGCTCAGTAAAGGATAGAGACTACGTTCCTGATTCTCCTGATGTTTCTGATTCAGAAACTTCAGATGAAGAATTGCATGGTGGTAAGTTTTTAAAATTTTCTGTGATGTGATATTAGATACTGTGCTATTTAGAACCGGTGAATGACGACGAGGCCCCAACGAATAATAATACTTTGAAAACCCCTATAAAAAAAAGGACCCGTTGGAAGAAATGTGACCCTAGTCAGTGGAAAAAAAATGTGTCTAAGCGTCAGAAAATCGAAGCTAAGACACCCAAACCTATTGATTGCTCAAAATGCCGTTTTAAGTGTATGGATAAAGTTTCGGAAGACCAACGATTAATAATTTGCAAAAACTTTTGGAGCTGCGATTTTAACAGAAGAAAGGATTTTATTTTAAATAATGTTGAAAGTAAGGTTCCTGAAAGACGCAGAGCAAAGTGTGACAGCAAGAAAAAGGCACGGGAGGACTCTAAAAGCTTTTTTTTTTGATTCAGCTGAATCAAGAGTAAGAGTATGTAAAAGTTTTTTTATAAAAACACTTTGCATAAGTAAAGAGGTCATAGAGCATGCCTTTAAGAATAGAGGAGAAGGAAGGCTGTTTCGCGGATATGATAAAAGGGGCAAAAAGGAACCTCATAATAAAACCAAATCAGAAGATATTCAAAAAGTCAAAACACACATTGAGAGTTTCCCTGTCATGCAATCGCACTACACCCGAAAATCTACCAAACGGCTGTATTTAGATTCCAAGTTAAGCATAGCAAAAATGCATTCTCTTTACAAAGAAGAATGTGAAAAGGATAGCTCAATACCAGTCTCACTCATAACTTACAGAAGAATATTATGTAATAACTATAACTATTCATTCTATGTTCCAAAAAAAGATCAATGTCAAATTTGCATGCAGTATAAAACTTGTAAAGAATTGGAGAAAAAGAAGCAATTAGAGAACAATTATCAAAGTCATGTCTTGAGAAAAGAAGATTGTAATGCAGCTAAAATTAGGGATAAAGAAAGAGCTTCAAAAGAAAACAATTTTATGTGTTGCACATTCGATCTACAAGGAGTTCTGCAACTTCCAAGTAGTGACGTGAGTCCTATGTACTACACTAGAAAACTGTGTACCTATAATCTAACAATTTATGAAATGGCACGGCCGAATAATGCTTATTGCTACGTTTGGACTGAGACTAATGGAAAAAGAGGTAGTTTCGAAATCGGAACTTGTTTATATCAATACATCGAGCAGCTCTCTGAAACGGTAACTGAAATATCGCTATTTTCAGATACTTGTAGCGGTCAAAACCGAAACCAAAACATTAGTGCCTTATTGCTCTATCTGGTCCAAACAAATCCTAATGTGCAAATCATAGAGCAAAAGTTTATGGAAAGTGGCCACAGCTACATGGAAGTCGATAGCATGCATAGCTCAATTGAAAAAGCAAAAAAGCATGTCCCAGTTTACACCATCCACGACTGGATGAATATATTTCGCATGGCGAGAAGTTCGAGGTCAAATAAAAAACCCTACCATGTTAAAGAATTAAAATTTAATGACTTCTTGGACCTGGACAAATTCGAAAAACTAATAATGAAAAACAAACTTAAAAACACTCTTGGCGAAAAAGTCAACTGGTTAAAAGTCAAGTGCTTTAAGTATCTCAAATCCAGGCCATGGATTCTTCAGTACAGATACGACCATACATCAGAGTACATGGAAGTGAATGTTCTTGGTAAAGGCCGTCCTTCAAACTTTGACAATTTTGTCCTAGCAAAAGCATACAGTAAACCTAGAACTATAACAAGCTTGAAAAAAGCAGACTTGATAAAGCTCTGTAAAACAGAGGTTATTCCTGTGGAGTTTCATAACTATTATAAATCCTTACCAACATCGAAAGATGCACAGGATGTGGTTCCAGAGCCTGCAGCAGAGGATAGTGACCAAGAGGAGGAATGGACAGATGAGGTCCAAGATGCCTGACTTCAACAAAACTATGACAACCAAAACAAGACAAATGCTGTTTTTTGTTTATAACAAATAAGTGGTGTGACATTTTTTATTACTTCTGTCTTCTTAAGAATTACAAAGTTTGTTTTCAATGTAATATGCAAAAAAATAAATGATTATTGGTATTGATGATTTTTCATGTATATTTTAAGTTTAAAACGCTAATATCTCAAAAACATAAATATGTGACTTATCTGGTTTTGGTAGTAACCCGACGATATAACCAACATGCGAAGCGCCTACTCCGTCAGCGCGCGCAGACCACCTGGTCTCAGACAGTGACTTTAATACCTTGTTCGAGCCCAAATATGTACTTAATATACTCCATCGGTGTGTGGAATTTGAAAAAAAGTTATATAATTTTTCTACAAGCTGAAAAAACGACGTTGCCTCTTGGACGCATTCTGCAGCATGAACACCGACCAAGTTCAAAGAATGCCCCGCACAAGGTACAAAAATTGCAAATTCGCATAGTTCTTTAATTCTTGCCTGCACACCAGAGTATTTCCCAGCCATATTTGACGCATTATCGTAGCTTTGACCACGACAATCTTTTATTGGAATATCCAAGTCTTTAAGAGTAGCCAATACAGTGTCAAATATTGCGCTGTGTGCTTGGTTATAGGTATAAATTGCAGAAATCTTTCAATTGGACTTGCGTTCTTAACATATCGAACAATAAAGGTCAACTGATCTATATGGGATAGATCAGGTGTCGAATCAATACTAATTGAGAAATACTTGGCTGCTTTTAGCTCACATACAATTCTCATAAGGACTTGCTTGGCCATAATATCAATAAATTCATTGCAAATATTAGCTGACAAGTATGAAGTTCTTCCTTTACCTGGATTTCCATATTTTTTTAAGTGTTCAGCAAGAAAGGGATCCGGGGGAACCAAATTTTTTTGGCCCCACGTTGGGCAATTTGTTACGTGGCAAAACGGACACTGCCACTCTGTTACCCGCAAAACACGAGGGAGAGGTAAATATTAAAATTTGAGGAAGTGGGACAGTGAATGGGTAATTAAAACAAAACAAAAAAATAGAAAGAAAGGGTTGGTTGGTGGCTGAAATCTAGAAACGTGATTTCGTGTAAAGGGTTGCCGACTAGCTTCCAATGCGGAGAGGGGTGTGGGTCAATTACAATAACTAAATATAGAGCGCCACCTGCTTTTTCCTTGTAGTACACGAAATCAACTGATATAACGAAAGCAGGAAACTTCTACGGAACTATAGCAGCACAACCTGAAATATAAAAGTAAACAAGAAGGAAGGACAAAAGTGAAACGCTTTGCTACAATCAGGTACGGGTTTTTAATTAGAACCAGAACAGAATAGGTTGACTCTAGAGCAGGTTCGAAGTGGGTTTTCCGAACGCCCTAGAACACTGAAAATTATTCACACTGGAACCAGAACAAGAAAAGAAATCGTCTCGGAGTACCCAACCATATGTTCTTAAAATAGTATTTACAATAATTATTAATTACACTCAACTTGAGTCCCTGAATAAAAAAAAAATTAAGAGTAATAACAATTAACAGCAATAATACCTGAAATATTAATTAATAAATAATCTCACTTAATGCAGTACCTTTGTAAATGGCCATTTAACCCCAGTGTACAAGTATTTCCTGTATTCCATGCAGCATGTATTTATGGGATAGTTATTAGAGAAATATAGATCAATGATTAAAGTTGAAGTAACAATAATTAGCCTGAGGGGCAAATTTAATATTATGGAATAATATAGAAGGTATAGATAAATACTTAAAATTGAAGTACCTAACAGTACATAACCTGAATGGTAAATTTCATATAATAAAGGTAATATATATAATTGATTAAAACTGAAATAACAACATCTAATCTGAAGGATAATTGAATGTAGTAGAACTGCGTTGTTGTGGTGATTTACTCCAACAAGGGGTTGGTAAGGTTTGATATTAAGACAATACAACACACTTATCAAACCTGAGTAGTCCCTAATCTCTTGGGGAACCTTACGAACGGATGGGATTAATATCTTCCAGTGTTTCCGATGGCCTGGGACTGGATCAAGGCCGCAACAAGAAGCCACTGGCCCTGGGCACTGAAGTTCAGTAACTAGGAGTCACTAAAGCTTCCAGTGGTCTAGAGGAGGCTGAAGATTGGAGGTACTACTTGAAACACACAGTAAGCTCAACGTTTAACTCTTTACTCAAGTTAAGGACTAAGCGTGACGAATAAAAGGTGACGATTAAAGCGTAACGTCTAAGACTGAAGATTAAAGGTGATGAATAAAGGCCAAAATACTTTGGCCTTTAGGAACAAACAATTGGTCACGTTGCTCTTTTTCGACTCACAAAAAAAATCCGCACAAGGAGATTGGGTGCTAAAATAACGGATTAGCCACCCTAGATCTATGAGCGAAAACTAGACAACTCAGAAAATCGGCAAAATGTGCCTGAGGAATTTTCCCGAACACTTAATCGTGAAAAGTCCTCGACCTGAATGACCTCCGCTTGTCCCTGCAATGTCCTTTAAAAAGGTTCTGTCAAAACTCCAAGGTGGAAGGTACTGGGGAATTTTGATGGTAGTTGGGGCATGGGACTTATTCAAATCAAGTTAGTACCGGTCATGGACTCTATTTGGAGCGATGTCAATCTAGACAATCTACTCGGATCAGATAATCAGCTGTTCTAGTGTAAATATTGTGATTTTGTTTGTTAATAAATTAATTGTCTATTTATTTTAACCCTACTAACAGGAAATCAATTCCATTAATAAACCTCTAACTTAATGATTCTGGGAAGAATGAAAAGTTTGATGAAAAGTGTGGCTACAACTATTGGATCGAAAACAGTGGCTTGAGGAAGGTATGCTATTCAGAGAGGTGAATAAGCTTATTTCCTTTTATTTTGGTGCGGGAAAAATCATCCCGTAACAATTCCCCCAATAATTCTATACATCCCAAATAATTTCCGTTTTGCTGGGAGCCAAGAATCTCATTGTCTCCGCGAAATGGAAGTCCTCTTGATGCTAAGAATTTTACTACTGCTACAACCCGTTTTCACACTCTTCCAGTAATCCACTTCTGCGTTATATTGAGAGAGTATATCGTTATCCACTCTGCGAACAGATTTGTTTCTAGAAATATATGTGATTGTCGATTGTCTATGAGCTAAACTATTTTCGTGCTCAACAACAAGATGGTTAACATGCTTCCAATCATTACATCCAGAAGAAGAACTAAAGCTTGTGTTGAAACAGGAATAACAATAAACAGACTTTGTTGATGGAGAGTATAAAAGCCATTTTCTTTCAACACTTTCCCCGTTCTTTAGTTGGCGAATGAAAACCCCTCTATTTAAATTTCTTGCTTTTATTTTACCGCTCGACTCCTTATAACTTCTAGAAGCTTCTGAGAAGTCATAATTTTTGTTTTGAAAAGCTTCTGGTCCTTTACGAATCCACAATTCACGTATTTCTTCTGTAAATGCCGCTGTCAAATAAATACCTATCTGGACGCTGAAGTGGCATTTCCTCAGCCTCAAGTTCTTCAATTATTGATGAATTATCGTAGCTGTTAAAGTTATTTCCTGAACTTGAGTTTAAAATTGGATTTGAAGTGAGAACATTATTTTCTGCTTCTTCATCATGATCATTTTGTTGACTATCCTGACTCTGAAAGCAATGCATTACAAGTTATTTATTAGAAGTCGTCTTCGATCGGTTCGTCGCTCAACTCGGTCGCTCTATGGTACGTATCCAATTTAATTCATTTATTCACCAACTTTCTGACGCACGAGCCGGCGATTTACCGAAGGTTTTTTTGAATAAATTTTTTTCTAATTTGAAAATATATTGACGGGGCGGGACGTAGATGATATATGAATAAACTTTATTAGGTACTCACAGCTACAGCGGTCTCTGCTTGGATCTTGAAGAAGGAAGTTAGCTTTGGTAGACTATCTATAAACTCCTTCTGATGAGCAATTTTTTTTCTTTTTTGCGCAATTGTTGGATATGCACGCTTTATTGACATGATGACTCCGATCCAAAGATTTGGAGAACGTAATCTTAAGTAGAAAGTAGAATAATTGTCAAAGCACTAAAAAAATAATCAAATAGATAGAAAATTGAAACAGGTGTTTACCTTACAAGTTCGGAAAGTTAAACTTCTTCTGCACGCAACGGCGTTTGCACGAACGACGCGCCAGCGGTGTTCGTGTAAGCCATAAGTGCGAAAAAGGTAGGTACTTTACGCTCGTAATAAGTACAACATTTTTCCTACGAGGACGCGTTTTCACGCACCAATTTGCGTGCAGAAAGTACCACTTTTCCGCACAGCGTGCGTGAATTTTTTTTTCGCGCACGTGTTGTGCGTAAAAATGCGTTTTCCGCACGCTCGTAGGAAAAATAACAACTGAATTCACGTACCTACCTTTTTGATTTTCACAATTCAAAACCATTCAAAACTCATTAAAACTATTTTAAAAAACAACAAAGTACTATCTTCTCTCTAGGTTGCAGTTTTTTTCTATGAACTAAACAAAGATAGACTGCTTATCGGTGGATCCACCAGTGAAAGAAAACCGCCCTATCCAATGAACTATAGCTAAAAACTGGAATGCGCACACATTGCCATTTTTGCCAAAAAAATGAAGCCATGAAAGACAGATGCCACAAGGGGGAATGTTGTTTTTTTCTGTTGCTCGCTGACATATGACGTTTTCGAAAGTTTTGTCATATTTCCCTTCACAGGTTTCATCAATTGGAATACGTGTTGGAAGCAATTTACGCCATTTAACATAATGAGTGCGACAAAAACAGGTATCCCTTCCGCAGCAGCCGCACTAGGCTTCAAGTTCGTCCTTATGTGTTAGCATTCCAGTTTTTGGTTATAGTTCATTGGCCCTATCTGCTGCTAAATAAACGACGATTCTGACAAGTGACAATTTGACAATTCTAAATATTCTATAGCGTTTTCC